GAGAGAGAGAGAGAGAGAGACAGAGTGAGAGAGAGAGAGAGAGAGAGAGAGGGACGTAGCGAAACCAAAAATAAGAGATTCCCAAAGTTAATAAAAGCTTCCATAGCTAATTGAGAATTGAGATATGGAGGAAATGGAAGATAGCTACTCATGGTTACTGTTACATACAAAAGTTTTTTTGCCAAGTAGTATAAAAAGTCAATCCTTCCATATATTTATTAATTATTATTTGGTTTACCAATAAATTGCCATCACATGTTTTGCTATGTATATGAAGGCTGTTAGGGGTAGTAATTCAGCTAAATGAAGGTGCAGGTCAAGGCAACGCCTAGGTGCCCGCTTTTTAGGCCGCATAGACGGGCGCCTAAATGGACCGCCTAGAGCATAGCGCCTAGTCCACGCTTAGGTGATTTGGAAAAATGGTCGTCTAGGCCGCAAGGCAGCCGAATTTTCGTTCGCTGGTTTCACCCATATTTCATATACATATGACACGTGTTTTCACATTTATTTCACAAGCATTTCACGTGTTGTTCCTTTCCCACAGGCTTCACATTACTCCATACATGCTCCATTTGCGCTTCACTTGAAGCTTCCACTTCAGAAGCGTGCTTGCATCCCACAAGCGCTTCAAGCAACTATGGTCAAACCAAGACCAGAAGTATCTAGGATTCAGTTACCAAGGACTATAAGGTCCAAATTGCCACTTGACACAACAAACATCAAAGAGAGGGGATGAGTAGATAAAATATTCACCAACCATGCCTCTCATACTAGAAAGCTGCATACAATGCCCTCATTCTTCCATGTCCAAACAAGATCACGATTTAAAACCATTCCAATCAAGTTCTATTTATTGATGTCTGTGTCTATTTACAATATCGTGCTACATCTAAGATGTATAAGACATTCATTATAATCTCTTGATACTAAAATAAGTACATATCTGATTTGAAATTTCCTTAAAACTAAAGAAGCTTTTACTTGCAAAAAAACAAATGATGTATAAGTTATCCCACCCACACGAATGCCTTTTGAAATGCAACCAAAAATATCCAGAGTTTTTGGTAATGCTAAAAACAACTCACCTGACAACTGCATATATCAAATGGTGCATCATCTTCCAAAACTCTATCCAAAGGTACCTAATAACCATACATGCAAGACAAATATTACCATAGTGCAACAGAAAATGTATGAGAATAGGAATCCAAGTATTTGTGAAAAATAAGTCCACAATGAACCGTTTCACTCCATGAGTCTTAATACTTCTTTAAAAAAAAAGTCGATGGTTTACCTTTTCTTTTCTTTTTTTTTGGAAATTTTATGGGTCACAATCAAGTGTAGCAACCGGTGCAGAGAGATCAACACCGCTTTTCGCAGAAACGCTTTGCTTGGTCACAGGACCCATAGCTTTGCCATCTAAAATATTTTTTTCTTCGATAAGTAAAACGATCTTTGGATTTGTTTCAGCTAGCTATATGGACTGGCTTCACAACTTTGTTTACACTACAACTGAAGCGCATGTTAGAGATCATTTCAAGCTGCAATTAATTTTTCACTCAAAATTCTAATTTCTTTTTTGCAAATGTTTTTCGCTACATAGTCAGGGCTTTGTAAGGGTACCCCACCCAATAAATTAATGATGCAGAGAGAAAATAATACGGGAACAATAAAAAATAAATAAATAAAAAAATAAAAAAAAGTTGAGAAAATATACCCTCTCTCAAGGTCTGCAAAGGAATCCACCCCAAAAACGATATTTTCACAAGATCAATTTACTCAATTTTCAATCCCTCTGATCTTTTACAATGAGGGGTTCTCCCCTTTAAATACACTTAGGAAAAACATAAACAAATAAAAAAAAAACCCACAATACAATAACTCTCTCTCTCTCTTCAATGTTTTCCTCTCCCTCCCTATTTTTTCTCTCTTCATCTCCCTATTCCTTTATCACGTGAATCTTTAGGGATTCACCATAAAAATCTCTTCCTAGATTGTAAGCTCATAAAGGTAGGACATTTTCGATAAGCCTAGGGTACCCCAAGTGTATATCCTGAAAAATCCACCTATGCCTAACTTATCTCTTTAAAACCAACTAAGAGATAGCTTATCCAAACCCCTAACAAAAGCATTCATGCCACACCTATAACCCATTTAAAAAATAATAAATTAAATTAAATTCTTTTTTTAATTATTTTTTTTGAATTTTTATCTACATCATTCTCTCGGGGTTGAAAAAAGCTCGACCTCGAGCTTCAAGCCAATCACCATCTGCTAATTGGTGATGTAATCCCACCATACGCCTCAGCACCTTTTCTTCAATTTCTTCAAGACTAATGTAAGACTATTTGCCTGCGGCTGTGTTTCAAGAGTAATTGTTGAATACGAGCTTGGGCTGATTATGATTATTCTTATCTAGGAATGGGTCAGCTCAAAAGAAGCACCATATACAATCGATGAACACCCTTGACCATGAAATTTTGGGTGATCGATTTTAATATCAAAATCTCATGGTCGCTCTATAGGACGCAGATTTGGCCTATAAATTTCTTCGTTACGCTTGAAATCAACACCATGGGTTTGTCGTGGAATTACTGGTGCATGATCAATGTGGCGGCGAGCACCTTTTTCATAATGAACATTGTTCTGTTCTCCAACCGTTGTAACCTCTGATCCAACCGTTGCATCCCCTTATTCATCTCGCGTACTTCAGTTCGAACATCCTCTAGTGCTTTAGTCAAATTTTCTATAGCTTGTCCCCGACGATCATCCATAGCAGGAGCATCAGTAGGATTAGCTTGATTAGCTTTTGGTGGCATTGCAAAAACAAATCTCTTTAGGTCTAACTTGCTCTCTCTAGACCTAAATTGCTTTGATACCAACTGATGCAGGAACAATAAAAATAAAAATAAAAAAAATAAAAGGTTGAGAGAATATACCCTCTCTTAAGGTCTGCAAGGGAATCCACCCAAAAATGATCTTTTCACAATATCAATTTACTCAATTCTCAATCTCTTTGATCTTTATACTCAATCCCTCCCTTGCTAAACCAGATCCCCTTGTCAAATGGACCACATTTGATGACACCAAAATAAATCATGAATGCATTATAATACTGGAAATGAAAATACATCATCTAATTCAGAACCTGTCTCTAGGTGCATCATTATCAAAAACCTTTTGTTGAGGTGTATGAATATTGTGAAGTTAGCCCTAATTAGCTTAAAGTTCCAATCAGCCTCACAATGACTATGAGACTATGACCATTAGATGCTATTTTAGAGGGAATACAAATCCACGACTTCGACAGAGACTAAGGGGCAGGGTGGAATCCACCACAACATACACTACACTGTTTTGTTAGGTGTAGGCTGACTTGTGGCCAATGCTCAAATAAATATCAGTGGACATGAAAAAGGTTTGATTTTTTGTTGGTGGAGGAAAAAAAGAAATATTCTGTTTACCACTTGTAAAATCTATTTTTGCATATGGAGCTACCGGTGACTTTGCAAACATGATTAGGTTACAAACTGACCCCAAAGCCTCAAAAGGGAATCACAAACTACAATACAATATCAACTGCATAGGCATTTACTACAATTTATTTCTGCCTTGCAAAATTAAAAACAAACTAGGACAAAAGCAAACAATGGAAACTATGCCAATCATTTAAGAATGTGAAGCACAACTAATTTTTGAAAGAGAAATTTATCAAAATACACCTAACTTATCAACTATTTAACATTTTACCCTTTTTCAACTATTCCATTTCTAACTCATGATAAGCTGTATTTTGATGGGACTCTTGAAAAATTAAATCAAATAAAATGTGTGAAATGTTAAATAGCTCATCCCTTTGGTGCATTTTAATTAATTTCCCTTTTTGAAATCTATCAATACTTTTTAATGATATCTTCCAAAACAGATCTTTAGTGAATTTAAATCAACATCAATCAACAATTTAAATGATAAAGAGAGTTATCCAACAGAACATTCACCAAATTCGTAAATAGTGAAAGCAATGGTCCCAACTCAGGAAAATTATGTTATTAACCTCAAAGCAATCTCCACATAAAAGGCGTGCTGGAAATGTAAATTTCTTCCTACGGGCATCAGCCTCACCATTGTAGCGTGTCCTACAGTCCTCAATCTGAAGAAAAATGTAGTGAGAGAATGAAAAAAAGGAAAAATGAAATAAGAAGCACGGTGAGATGATGCATCAATGAGACTAGCAAATAAGAAAGTCTAATTTTAGTGCCCCACTGTAACATGTATTGAAACACTAAAAGGAAAATATCATCAAAATGTAGCATGCATAACTTGAATTTGCCACCTGGGAAACATGGTGACTCATAAAATTAACCAGAAGAAGCAGATCACAAAACCCGAACCAAAATCAAATTAGCAAAAGAAAGAAACAAGACCCCAAGTAAATAGCATACATCATGCACTCGATCTCAGTCGCAGAAAAAATGGTGGGCAGGAAAATAATAGATAAATTATGTTTTGAACTTTGAGTCTAATCAATAACATACTTACAACCACCCGATTTAAAATCTGACGGACAAGAGTGATTGTGACCTAGTAAATGGTCTCTTTGTATACTTTTCCTATATATACCTTTTCTTCCTCACCAGGGAAAGATACATGTGTCCAAAAAAAAAGGCAAGCCAGCATAGAACACTCCACATGCTTAATCAAATGAAGGAATAATCAAAAGATTCCGCTTACCGAGCCTTCGGCCATATCTATCCCAACATAGTATCCAATCTGGGCCTTGTCCCATTTGATTAGATCTCCACCCTGGTAATCAATTGAAGATTAATTAGAAGACAAATGATACAATCTAGTGCAAATATGGAATTATACCCTTTAAGTGAAATATGTAAGACCACACAGACACTTCAACTGAAAGTAATTGTTAGAAAAAGCAAATTTTCCTTAAAATAACATTAACTGTTAGGTTTCCATTGACACTGAGGGCTGCAGTATTTGGGGCAAGAAATAAACTTCATTTGGCTAAAATTTTATATTTGGTCTATCGACTAGCTATTACACAATAGCACCACATCACCGAACATGTCAATATACCTTTCCACAACCCATATCTAGAACAGCATCTCCTCGACGTGCATATAGTTGAATAAGGACACTTTTAATCTGTTATGATAAAGGTCCAGAGCAATAAGATAAGTGTCAACTTGGTGATGGAATAATAGATCTGCAATGTTGATATTATTCACAATCACATATACCATATGCATTATGAATCCACGAAATTCACAGAAACCAAACAGCAGGAAAGAACAACCTATGTGATAAAATAAAATTCACTATAATTAATTAAATAGAATGCATGGCAATCCAGGTATACATATGCCAACCTAGTTAGGTTATAATAACCAGCATAAGTGATGTTGGGATGTGATGCAAAAAAAATAACACGCTATGGTATTCTCCCTCTTGTTAAAGGGTATTTTTGTCACTAAAATAAGCCTTTTTAGTGGAGGCCCATAAAAGGGGTTTTTAGAAAAACATGGGTGAGTAAGGGAGAAAGGGAAGTTGTAAAGAGATAAGCTTGGGGTTGGAAATTGGGGGTTTTTTGCAACAAAACCCTAGCACCAACATTTGGGGCTCATCTTAGGCCATTTTGTCGGCATTTCTTCGCGGCAACGGTGAATCGAAGAAAGGAGTCGATTGTGGGTGGTTTTGTGGTAGGAACTTCTTTTGTTTGAGTTTTCCTTGAAATTGTATGAGGTAACTCTACATAAACCCAATCTTGTAAGTTTTCCTCTTGATAGTGAATACATCTTTGCCGTCTTGCCTGTGGACGTAGCCCATCTTGGTGAACCACGTATATGTGTGTATCCCTCTCTACTTTCATTTGCGTTGTGCTTTGAACATTTCCCATATTGCATGTTTTATTGTTTTTATATTTTTCCAATTATATTGCACTTATTAATGCATCTTGGGCATGTTATTTGAGTGTTGAAATCATTGTGGTGCAGTGCTCACTACATCTAGTGGGATTTGAGATATCCTGATTTGCTCAAAAGGGGTGATTGGATTATCCCGATTTTACAACAAGTGGTATCAGAGCTTAAGGAATTAATGCAGTATTTTTGAAAAAATGGCATCTCACAAGTTTGAGGTGGAAAAGTTTAATGGGAAAGACAATTTTGAAAATCGAAATTAATGCAAGAATTATTAGTACATCAAGGGCAACACAAAGCATTACTTTGAAAAGATAAAAAACTGATCAATATGACCGATGATGAATGGGACGAACTCGATATGAAGGCACGGGCCACTATTTGCTTGTGTTTAGCGAATTAAGTTTTGTTTAATATTGTTGGCGAAAAGACGGCAAAAGATTTGTGGGAAAAATTGGAAAGTTTGCATCAAACAAAATCTCTAACAAATCGAATTTTCTTAAAAAGGAAATTGTATTCCTTGATAATGAAAGAAGGTGCAAATGTGTCGCAACACTTGAATGAGTTTAATAGCATCATTTGTCAACTTGAGAGTATTGGTGCGAGAATGGACGATGAAGATAAGGCAGTCACCTTACTTTGTTCATAACCAGAATCCTATGATAACCTTATTACTATATTGAGTTGTAGTAAAGAGGATTCTCTTGATTTGGGCTCGACGTGTAGTGCCCTACTTGCCGATGAACTTCGAAAGAATGCATATTTGGGAAGTTCGATAAAATCGAAGATGGAAGTTCTTGTGGCAAGAGGTCGATCGAATGAACGAGGTGATTTATTGAGGAATCATTCAAGAAGTAATTCAAGATTTCGATCAAAATCTAGAGGGCCCAATAACAAGAATGTGTGTTGGCATTGTGAGAAGCCCAGTCATATAAGGAAGAATTGTTTTAAAAGAAATGGAGTGAATTCTTCCAAAGCTCCTAATACGGGACGCGAAAAACCAAGTGAATCCAAAAATGAAGCAAATCAAGTTGAAGAGTCTACATCCAGGTTCATTGAAGATGAAGTATTGATGGTGGCATATAATTCAATATTCTATCAAAATTGGATACTTAATAGTAGAGCCACCCATCACATGTGCCCACATAGATCATGGTTTGACTCATATGAGTCATGTGAAAGAGGATCGGTGTTCATGGGTAATAATTTCACTAACAAGGTGGTTGGAATGGGTTCGGTTCGGCTAAGGATATATGACGGGACTATTCAGGCAATTAGGATGTTAGGCATGTGCCGGAACTAAAAAAGAGTTTGATTTCCCTCTCTTCCCTAGATTCGAAAGGTTATAAGTCCACCGGTCAAGGTGGAGTAATCAAAGTATCAAAAGGGGCTCTAATTGTGATGAAAGGAGTCCTAGTTGGGAGCTTGTACAAGTTATTGAAAAGCACAATAATAAATGATGAAATGAATTCCGTGGTCGAAGGTGAGGAAATTCCATTTCGCCTATGGAGTAGAAGATTGGGGTATATGAGTGATAAGGGTATGTAGGTCTTAATGAAGAGGAATTTTATTCCTACACTTAAAGTTGATGGATCCGAATTTTGTGAGCATTGTGTCTATGGGAAACAACATAAACAAACTTTCAAGGCCGGGAAGCATACAAGCAAGTGCAAACTTGATTACATTCACTCATATGTATGGGGCCCTTCACCAACTACATCTTATGGCGGTGCATTATATTTTGTTTCATTTGTTGATGACTTCTCAAGAAAGGTCTGGATCAAAACTCTCAAGTCCAAAAGTGATGTGTTTCGTGCATTCAAGAATTTTAAAACCGAAGTTGAAAAATCTACGGGGCATCACATCAAAGTTCTTTGGACCAATAATGGTGGAGAGTTTGTATCAAAGGAGTTCAAAAATTTTTGGAAGACCAACGGAATTACGAGGCATTACACAAATGCCTACAATCCTCAACAAAATGGTATGACCGAGAAGATGAATCGCACTTTGAAGGAGCGTGCAAGGTGCATGTTAAACAATGCCGGCCTAGAACAAGAATTATGGGCAAAAGCCGTATCAATGGCTTGTTATCTTATCAACCGATCACCTTCGATAACATTGGGAAGCAAAACTCCTAATGAGGTATGATATGGAACTCCGAGTGACTACTCCAATTTAAAAAAAATTTGTTGTGATGCATATGCACTTATTCCAAGTTGTCAAAGGAACAAATTGGATCCAAGGTCAAAGAAGTGCATCTTTGTAGGTTATAGCAAGGGTGTGAAGGGGTACCGACTATGGGATCCAAGTACCCAAAAAATCATCACTAGTCGTGATGTGCATTTTGATGAATCCAAGGTATTAACAAAAGGGATGATGATGATGGACAATGGTCAAGAAGTGCAACAAGAGAACAAAGACTTTGAAAGCAACCCTAAAATACTTCCACTAAGTACAACTATGCCTTATGAGAATATACCCATTGATCATAGTGAAGAGCATGAAGAACTAGGAAGTCAAGATGAAGAACCACATGGCCATCATGATGAACTTACGCCTTTGGCACATAAGCACTCTACTAGAGAAACTCATGCACTCGAGTGGCACAAAGATTATGTGGATCCAAATACTTTGCATGCTTTGATAGCCAAAAATGAAGAGCCAACATCATTCCGTGAAGCTATTAATAGCAATGGTACCGAGCATTGGAAAAGAGCTATGGAAGAAGAGATCTTGACCCTTCAAAAAAACAAGACTTGGGATTTTGTGGAGCTACCAAAAGGAAGAAAGGTCGTTGGTTGTAAATGGATGTTCAAGATAAAGAAGGGGCTTGATGGCAAGCTTGAAAGATATAAGGCAAGATTGGTGGCAAAAGGTTTTTCGCAAAAACAAGGCATTGACTTTGATGAATTTTTTGCATCGATAGTCAAGTTGGTCTAAATTCGCTTGGTGCTTGGATTAGTTGCTATGCATGATTTAAAGCTTGAGCAAATGGATGTGAAGACGGCTTTTTTGCATGGAGAACTTGAAGAGGAAGTGTACATGCAAGAACCGGAAGGCTTCATAAAGAAGGGCAAAGAAGGACTTGTGTGCAAATTGAAGAAGTCCTTGTGTGGGCTCAAGCAAGCATCAAGACAATGATATAGAACATTTGATATGTTCATGATGAGCTTTGGGTACACAAGAAGTAAGTATGATCATTGCATCTATTTAAAGTTCTTTGATGATGGTATATACTTGATTTTAGTCTTATATGTGGATGACATGCTTTGGTGTGCAAAGATAAGACAAAAATTGATGAGCTCAAGACTTCTTTGAGCAAAAGATTTGAGATGAAAGATCTCGGTCAGGCAAGGTAAATCCTTGGGATTGAAATTGAAAGGGATAGACAAAATGGAATTTTGTCATTATCTCAAAAGGGTTACATAGAAAGGGTACTTGAAAAATTTGGTATGAAAGATGCAAAGCTGATGAAGACACCCCTAGTGCCTCACTTTAAATTTTCTTCAATGTAAAATCCAAAGACGGAAGAAGAAAGAAGCAGCATGGCTAAGGTTCCTTATGCAAATGCGATTGGAAGTTTAATGTTTGCCATGGTATGTATAAGACTGAATATCGCGCATGCAGTTGGTGTTCTAAGTCAGTTTATGGCAAACCCCAGAAATGTTCAGTGGGAAGCAACAAAAAGGATGCTTTGGTACTTAAGAGGCACAACTAGTTATACAATCACATTTGACAAGGACTTAACCCAAATGCAAGGTTTTGTCAATGCAAATTTTATCGATGATCTTGATAGAGGTAGGTCGACTACCGTATTTGTTTTTCGGTTTGCAAATGGACCGGTAAGTTAGATGTCAAGGCTCCAAGACACGGTAGCATTGTCAACTACGGAAATCGATTACATGGCGGCAACAGCAGCATCAAAAGAAGTTGTGTGGCTTCAAGGGTTTATAGGTGAGATGGGCATTATGTGCAAGCCCATGGAACTATTATGTGACAATATGAGTGCTATCCATTTGGCCAATAACCCAGTTCACCACAAGAGGTCAAGCACATAGTGGTTCAATATCACTATATCCGGCAAATTGTTGAAGATGGAAGGATTCGATTGATCAAGATCAAGACCGAAGACAACCTTGCGGATATGCTTATGAAGCCCATCCAAATAGAAAAGTTTGAATGGATTCTTACTTCTCTAGGTTTCAAGAAAGGAAAAAAGTGAGGGGTTGGCAAGGAATGGGTGTGATTTTGCATCAAGGTGGATATTTTTGGGATGTGATGCAAAAAAAAATCACACCTTATGGTATTCTCCCTCTTGTTAAAGGGTATTTTTGTCACTAAAATAAGTCTTTTTAATGGAGGCCCATAAAAAGGGTTTTTTTGAGAGAGAGAAACATGGGTGAGCGAGGGAGAGAGGGAAGTTGTAGAGAGAGAAGCTTGGGGTTGAAAATTGGGGGTTTTTTACCCTAACACCACCATTTGGGGCTCATCTTGGGCCATTTTGTCGACATTTCTTCGCGGCATCAGTGAATCGAAGAAAGGAGTCGATTGTAGGTGGTTTTATGATAGGAAGTTTTTTTGTTTGAGCTTTCCTTGAGATTGTATGAGGTAACTCTACATAACCCCAATCTTGTAAGTTTTCCTCTTGATAGTGAATATATATTTGTCGTCTTGCCCGTGGACGCGGCCCATCTTGAGTGAACCACATATATGTGTGTGTCCCTCTCTACTTTCATTTGTGTTGTGCTTTGAAGATTTCCCATATTGCATGTTTTATTGTTTTTATATTTTTTCCAATTATATTGCACTTGTTATTGCATTTTGGACATGTTATTTGAGTGTTGAAATCATTGTGGTGTGTGCTCACTACGTCTAGTGGGATTTGAGAATTGAGATATCCCGATTAGCTCAAAAGGGGTGATTGGGTTATCCCGATTTTACAACAAGTGCAATTTAACTGGCAATGAATATATGAAGAGAATATGGAAAGCAATTACTGCACAACAGTTGGTTTTGAAAATTTTCAAAACTTCAGCTAACATAAATTGAGTGGGAATGAAGAGAGTATGGAGAGCAATTCCCACAACAGTTGGTTTTGAAAATTTTCAAAACTTCCGCTAAGATAAATTGAGTGGGAATGAAGAGAATATGGAGAGCAATTCCTGCACAACAGTTGGTTTTGAAAATTTTCAAAACTTCAGCTAAGGTAAATTGAGTGGGAATGAAACAAACTTTCAGCTACGTGCCAGAGTAAAAAATACAGACTTTTATGATTACTTTGAAAGTCCAACTGATAATCCACAATAGACGACCAAAACCTTAGAAGGTATTACTAAAAACCACAAAAAAAGCAATAAGAAATAATAACAAAACAGATAATTTTGAGCATACCCAGTTATTGAGCTTCTTCAAATGAATAATAGGACTCGCTTCCCGCTCTTCAAGTGTTTGATTCGTCCGCGCACTATAATGTTCTGCAACTTTCCTTGCCAGATCCTTTGTGTTCTCATCTTCTGAGAACCTATTTTCATCTACAAAGACAAATACATGTAAGATTAGAAAGCAAAAAATTCCAAGAGATGAAATATAAAAATAAATGAAACACCATTGTTATATGCAGCATTTTTGTAATTCAAGCGGAATTGAATTTCGAATCTAAGGCACTGCATACACAATTTCAGCTGGAACGAAAGCATAGTTCCAGGATAAATTGGTTTTTCTTTTATCTGAGAAGAGTCTCAGATATTTTCCATTTTCTTTTCGGCAATTTCATCCAAAATCTAAGGATAATACTAAGAAAACATAAAATTGAGCAGCGATTTGAACTGAAGCTCCTGAATTACAGCTTCTAATCAAGAAAATTTTCAAATTTCGAGAGAGAGGAAGTTTTAATTCTGGATAAAGTTTTTTAGCTCTACAAAGAAATCAAGATTTTCCCAAAGCTTATTCTGTATAGAATTAGGGCACAGACCATCATGATAGCTGATTCGAGGTTTTGAATTTGAAGGAAGAGGAGTTGAAGCACCATGTTCATATCTTCGCTTCATTCTGATGAAAAAGAGCCCCAGCTCACAATACTTCGTGCAGTCAACCTAATAATGGTCCCTCAAGATTTACAGAGAGCTTCAGTGAGTAAATTCAAAATGAGCATAAACCCATGCAAACTCAGTTCGAGCTTTGTGCCCTGATCCTAACCCTAGTCCAGATTCCAGAAACGGATATCGAGATCCATAAAAACCAGTAATTTACACAATTGAAACGGTAACGCCAAGCAACCCTTCAGAGCTCACGCAGTCTAATAAAATCGAGAAATGACAGATATATCCTTTTGAAATTTTAAGGATACTGTGCTCCCTCCTGAGTCAAAAGATTTCATGCTCCCGCGGGAGTATACTGTCCATTTACTCCCTCCAGTGAAATTCAATTTAGGATAATTTTCTGGATCCCAAATTATTGAGGTGTAGCATCATTAACCTACTAAAAACGAGAAAA